CTAAAAAGTAGTCAACTAATAAAATTATTATCATAATATCAGCAATATTTTATCAATTGACCACTTTTTGATATCTTTCACAGAAAATGAGATATACGGGCTCAACGTTGACGGTAAGGGAGCCTTTCCATTGATGTTCCAACGTAGTCCTTGTTTTTGCTTTTCTATTTTGAAAACCTGTCACTGTAAAAAAATAAAAACATTTATTGAATGAACAGCTGGAGACGTTTCAAGTATGACATTTTGAAATCAATGTACTCTTAGGAATGGGCTACTCGGAACATAACTAAAGCTGTTTAAGTACAATACTATATCTGTGAAAAAATGACTGTGCCCGCGAAGGCCCGGCACACGCCCGGATTACAAGTATGCTTGTTAGACAAAAGTTCCATGATAGAAAGGATGTAAAAACGTGGTTGGATGACGTTTTCGCGTCCCAGTCTACCGAGTTCTACGCTAATGGAATCGCTCTACTTCAATCGCGTTGGCAAGTAGTCATGTACACTATTGGTGAATATATCACACATTGAATTCCGTGTTCTTTGAATAAATTTTGCTCCAAAAAAAATCAAAAAATTACAAAGACTTTCCGCTCAACCTAATATAAGAGATATCAAACAATTGTTAACTAATAAATTGTTTATCATTTTATCAGCTACATTTTATTAGTTGCCAAGTCTTGGCTCTCTCTTATAGGAAGCCAGGTAATTGAGCTGAAACATAACCGGTTTTAAGGTAATTTAGATCACTCTTTTTTTTTTAACTTGACCGAGAAACCTATCCTTCACTTTGATCAATTTTCAATAATTAGAATGATAGAGGTCAACGTAGAGTAATATTTACGCCCATCCCTGATCTATATTCATGTAACAACGAAGAAGCCGACCGATCTCTTTTTCTCAGCCCCCAATGATTCATCTTTATCATGAATTCTATTAAAAACCTCATTTTTTTCTATATTTCTCTACCCACTCTCCTTTTATCACACAGTCTCTCTTCTTAAGATACCAACACCCCCATACTTTGGTTTATTGGATTTTTTTGTACAGTTTTTCTCTGGAGCTTACAAAACATCTTTCTATTTTCTCAAAAAAGTTTTCTTATTTTCAAATGTTAGAAGAGTTTCATTTTGATAATATACCGTAAAACCAGTATTAGGCTTGCCGACCCTTCTATAAGTCCAAGTCCTAACTCGCAGGGTTCTTTTATTAGAGATGCCCTTCTATTAAAGGTGTTTCCCATTACAGTAACATACCTTATCCCCTTGCAACACTCTTCCACAATCCACATGTTGTGTCTCCGGCCGCTTACAGTACATCCCTTGCATTTCACATGAGTGGTCAATTTTTCGAAATGCCCGTATCATTTTCTCATAGACAAACGCTTTTTGCTCGAAGGACATGGTGGTGTCTGGAATTCAATTTTACCGTTGAATCTGTTTTTTAGAAGGGCCTATCTTGGTTACTGTGAGAGATACCAAAAAGTTGTCAACAGATTGTTATCATAATATCACGATCATTCCATCAATTAACACATTTTCGATATGTCTCATAGGAATCGAGGTTAGTGAGCTCAAACTTGACAGTATAGGGGTCCTTCTATCTGTGGTTATACAGTAGAATCTCTAGGCCCATTTTTTGAAAAATTGAATTTTAATCTCATAGCTTTTTTAGGCTTAAAACTTACCAAATTTTGGTCTGAATAGAATCAGAAAATCTGTTGAAGAGGTGGTATAAAAGCATATAAGAATAGAGGACATTGCTAGTATACCAAGTCTAATATAAGTACATTCTTCCATACTCATAGCTACGCTAGTAGTTTTTTCTTCCTTTCGAATAAGCTTTTTGAGGGGCTAAAACACAGTAAACGGAGGAAAGGATAATGACCGCGCCTAGTCTAAGATCTCATTTCAGATAACGGGTAGCCTTGCACCTAGGTGGATTTACACACGACAACCCATTCTTTAGTCTAGAAGCAGAGGACGGGGAGAAGAAAAAAGATCACGAAATTTTGAAATTCAAATGGAGGAAAGACCGGATGAGAACGATTCAAACTACACGCTTTTCGAAGATTTGACTGATTTTTCGGACCTGAATCAGGCTAGAGGCTTTCTTCGCGATCTTTTAGAATGGCAGATGTGACTAGATAAGAAAAAGTCTGCTGACTCATTTTTAAAATCTTGCACAGGAATGGATATAATTGAGCTCAAACTTGACCATTTGGGGGTCATTTTACTACGGTACCCAACAAGGGAACGTTTTTAAAAGGTCCTTAGAGAATTTGCTGAAAATTCGCACAAGGGTACTTTCGAACATGCTGAGAACGGTTTCAGCTATATCTCATTTTCGGATCCAATAGGTCTCATTTTTGAACATTTTTCTATCTTCTGACATAGTTATTGGACATTTTCAAAAAAATAAGTTTTTTGAAAATTTTTGGAAAAAAATCACAATGGGGTTATTCATGCCCCAGTTATTCAGAAACGACAAAAATAGTATTCTTACAAAATTTGACACCCCAATTTCGCCATTGGGCTCAAAATATCTAGATAAATGACAGTGAAGAAAGTGGAAAATCTTAAAAGTGTGTTATGAAAGCGATGGGCTTATTGGAGGGTTACGGTTAACATTGAGCCAATTTTTCCGGGTTCCTGAAAAAGACATCAGAAAGTTGTCAACTGATATAATGTTCATTATATAATCAGAAGTGTTTTGTCTGTTGACACATTTTTGATATCTTGCATAAGAATTGAGATAATTGAGCTTCAACTTGACAGTTTGGGGGCCCTTCTACTACAGGTTTGATAGTATTAAACAAGTTGTAAAAATTGCAATTTCGTAAAATTTCGGATTGATATAAGAGGAATCAAATTTCAAAATTTTCACGTTTGGAGTCTCAAAACGGATTTTTTGAAAAATACTGTGCTCACGCAGAAAAAATTGAAATTTTTATTTTCTATTCAAAACTGTGTTCTTCTCAAAATCGTTCTACAGAACGATTCGATGATTCAATTTTCGCGTCATGTTTTTCTCTCACAGAATCGCTCTGCAGATCGTTCTGCAGAACGATTCGGTGTTTTTGGTTCTTTAATTTTAATAAAAACGTTAAAAAATAAATCAAAAAAATGTGGATTTTTTATAAAAACCCAGAATTATTGAAAACAAATGTTCACGCTACATTTTCTGGGGAAAATAAGAAAATTCCCATTTAAAAATAACTTATTTTTGTAATCGTGATTTTTAATGTGTAAATTCTCATAATATTTCTCTTTTTTTGATTATTTTCTCTCAAACGTGAAAATTTTGAAATTTGATCTCTCTTATATAGGTGCTATCAGTTGGACCATACTTCATGAAAATCGATTTTTTGATTTTTCGTTTAGGGTACTTCTGTGATGGGTAGAATTCGGCGGCTTAGCGGCTCTAGAAGTTTCTGAGGCAGTTTGGACCACAGCAACGTACCATCGGCCAGGGCTGCGGCCGGCCATGGGGATGTTTCTGTCATTTTTGCAAGATAGTATCCTTGAGTTGTTCTCTTGCTCCCCGTTCCTACTTTCTCGATGCTAGCCTTCCACCATCCTGTGTGTATTTTTAAGACTGTATGAATCATATCTTCTGTGTGCCAGCCAGCCGGTACCCTCCTGCTATAAACAGTGAAGATGTTTTCTGCTGACTCAACAAGACCATCTCTTCTTGATCGTCCTTTCCAGTTCCTTCGATACTGTCTTACTGTTTCTAACAGTCGGCACGTGCCAAAGATAAATCCGTTTGCTATTCTTCACACTGCTTCCGAACACTGTAATTTACATGCGAATCCTAATTATTCCCGGTAGTAGCCCACCTCTTTTGGCTAGTCATTATGGATTCATAAAGCCCTTTGCTTCCAATATCTAATATAGCTTTCTAGACCCCACATAGCTTTCTAGAGCATTCGTAACAAATCGCCTTGACATGGGAACGTTTTTAGAAGCTCCTTTGGGAATTAGCTGAAAATTGTAGTACTTAAATCAACTGCAGGAATATCTTGACCCCAGTCTCAAGCGAGGAATTTCAAAAATGCATCTTCTAGAAATTTCCCTCAAAGAAAAAATTGTTTCTTGTTCTTATGTCACAAATTTGGCAACCGAAAAGTAAACAAATGTTTCGTGACACGCAAAGCGGTGTTTTTTTCTTGTCCTCCCACTTCAAAGGCTTGCAACTTTTGGCGTCATTTTTTATGAATGTGTTCTTGTTAGCCAGTATTCATGTATGCATTGAAAATTTCTTCAGAAAACAAGCAGTTTTTGATATTTTGAAAGAAAAGGGTCGACTTTTTTCGTTAGCTTTGAAATTCTCGCTATCAAAGTTCTCAAAATTGGCTTTTCTAGAACTGCTTAAATAGAAAATCCAAACATGCACTTTGAGCTCAATTATCTCGGTTCCCATCAAATATATCAAAAATTGGCCAAATGGCAAAATGTTAGTGATACTATGATAACCATTTTGTCAGTTGACATATTTTTGATATCTTTTAAAGAAACCGAGATAATTGAGCTTAAAGTAGACAAGTCGCCGGCTCAGCTACGCGGTCAGCAGCATAGCTTTTAACTTTGAGCCTATTTATCTCATTTTTTGTAAAAGCTATCAAATTTTTGTCAACTGATAAAATGTTAGTGATATTATGATAAACATTTTATTAGTTGACCATTTTTTGATACCTCTAATAGAGACCGAGATAAATTGTCTCAAAGTTAAAGGGTCTATTCGGGTGTTTACAGTAACCTTTCTTAAGATAACTCCTCTCTTGACACCTTCCCCGTTCTCACATCCCATCAGATTATTATCATTCACATTTCCATCCCTCTCACTCTTGTGTTCGCCTTGAACACATACATAATTCCTAATCCTATTTTTCCTCTTTCAAATAACTGAACACACCTGCCCGGTACCAAACTTGGCACCGCGCCTTGCTCCGCGCGCCACACGCCTTTTGGCTTCAACTTCCGGCTCCCAACTTACGTCATGGAATCCCTTTACACATGACTGATAGTGAGCTAGAATATTAATATTTTTGTACTTTATTAAAGTTGGATTACCATTTATTGGATCTCATATCATATAAAAGGACAATAATCGGATGTAGATGCTTTTTGGAGCTAGAATCATACGTCAGATCCTTCTGTGAATATTCATTGAAGGTATAAACAATTTTTGTTCACAGGAAGAAAAAAAATCAGTTTTTTCCTGCAATTCCTCGATTTTTTGTTGTTCTAACATCCCCCGTTTTCTTCCGTTTTTCCCTTCCGATTCGATTCGTTCTTTTTATATTTTTCTTCGTTTTCTTCAAGATTTCATCTTTTTCTTTCTTGTACTATCACCGATTCTGGCCGTTTTAAAGGCATCGAATGTGATACATGGATTTCGTAGTTTTTACATTGCAGATTCATACAGGTAATACGGTAGTTTTCAGAATTTAGAGCTTTTGAGCGTTAGGCTACCGTATCCTCTGATTAAGCATCACTCTCATGTTTGAACTTCGAGCTTCATTATCTTGATTCATGTAAGATACCTGCCACCTGCTTGCCGCTTCAATCAGCTGGCTGGTGCGCTTTCGGCGTGATTCGATCTTGTTTTATGTTGGTTTGTCGCTTCACTTCTCACGTTTTCTAAAAAGGTCACGTATCTGTACTTATTTTTCAAACTTTCAAAACCGGACAGCGTGACATGAGAACCAACAGACATCGCTAGCGTTTTATATATAAGGAAGATATAAAGTTTTTGTCAACCTGATAAAATGTTTTTTATACTGTTATCAACGTTTTATCAGTTGACAAAATTTTGATATCTCTTATCAGGGCTGCGACTTTACGTTTACGGATTTTACGGTTTTTACGGTTTTTACGGCATTTTGAGACAACCGTAAAATTTTTTCCGTAAAATCCGTAAAAACCGTAAAATTAGCAAATTGACTGGTTTTGGCAAGCAAAGCCTAATTTTTTCAAGTTTGGCGCTATTTCAGCTATGTATCTTTGCGAAATTTCAATTCAATAATTTGAAAGCTATGCATTGCCAAACAGTACCAAAGTTTTTGAAAAAGGCCAAAAAATGCCTTTGGAAATTCGATCATCGCTCTGAAGTGGAATTTTGAGATTTTTGGTGATAAAAGTGTGACAATGCATTTTTTTTTTCGAATTATTGAATTGTAGTTACATACCTAAATAAGCGCCAAACTTGAAAAAATAGATTTTGCTTGCCAAAAAAAGTAATTTTCCAAATTTTACGGTCTTTACGGACTTTAGGAATTTTACGGTTTTTCAATCCGTAAAAAAAATTTTCACGCCTAGCCCTGTCTCTTATGTGAAGTGAGATAATTGAACTCAAAGTTTAAGTAGATGCCTTAAACCGCTCAAACCAAAAACATTATCTTGGTTGCTATGTAAGATATCAAAAATTTGTAAACTAATAAAATGTCCCTGATATTATGATAAACATTTTATCAGTTTACAACTTTTTGATATATTTTATAAGATTTGAGGTAATTGAGCTCAAAGTTCAATTACATACCGTACCCACCCCCCCCCCCCCCAAACTTTCCAAATGTCAACTTTGAGCTTAATTATCTTGGTTCTTTTAAACGGTATAAAATAATGACCAACTGAAAAAATGTTGGCAATATTACGCATGAAATTTTATTAGTTGACACATTTTTGATATAATTTTTAGGAATCGAGATAACCGAGCTCAAAGTTAAAAGTTAGAGAGTAAATCCTATCTGTGGTACCGGTAGTGCTATCAGAGAAAATATGTTGGACTTTTTTTGAAAACC